AAATATATATATATATATATATATATATATATATATATTTAAATCATGTTTAAGATGCATTAAGTTGTACCTTCTATATTTTCCTATAGTTCTGGCCTTTAATTCCTTTTTTTTTTTTAAATTTCGTATATTTTCATCAACAAACGTTACTTGATGACCTGCTAAGTAACCTACCCACATAACCACAATAATTCATTAAAATGTTACTTTACGATCACCAACATTCAAAATTTATAACTATAACCCACCCATGGATAAGAAATAAATATAATTTTGATGTGGAATTTTGAGCAGAAAAGGAAAGTTGCCAAATGGTTTGACCCTGGTCTGCTAAAAATAAAAAACAGAAAGGCCAATTAGAATATAAAAAAAATGAACATCAAAAATAATCCAGTTGACTATAATACACCACAAAAATGGATTATTATAACATAATAATAACCTAGAGAAGGAAAAATGACACCCTAACTGTATTAACCCTATCACTACGGGTCATGGGTCAAATGCCATGTCATCTTGTTTGTTGACTTACATTCAAAATTTTATTGAATTACTATTTTATGTTTGGTACCAAACTGTAGATTATAATTCAAATTTTAGTATTATACATTAGTCAATTTCTTAATTTTAAAAGTAAATATATAAATAAACTTAAACATCAATTTTTGTGTGTCATGTGGTATGTTGAATGTAGCACTGGTTCAAATTAGATATTTGTTATGTCAAAATACTAAGTCTATAGTTTCCTATGAATTAGGAAATCAAATTACCGATATTGACAAGCTGAAATATAAAATAGTACCTCCTATATTTTCTATTTGCTGAAATATTGCTCATGTACTGAATCAAGCACAGTGGCCCTGCTCATCTATTTCCATTTTTGGAAATGGCCCCTTATATACACTTACTTGTGTATATGACATATGAATAACCAATCGAAAGCTCAGAATTTCTACCTAATGGCTTTCTCAGCCATTTTCATGTGTTAGGATGCCATCTCATTCTTTTGAACCAAGATTTCAAAGAGGTAGGTTGTCTTTAGTCTGCTTGAAATTTCATATTTGTTTTAGACCTAAATACAGTTTAGTTACTAAACTTGATAAATTATAATAGAATTCTATGGTATCGATATAATAATTTATGATTTTTTGGTTATTCAAATGTATATATAAAAACTAAAAACAATTATTTCGTTTCACATCCTCCACATGCAAAATTTTCTTAAGGCTTAGCAAGCTATGAGAAGCAGCAACCAAGTACAAAGGTTGTAATAAGAAGAGATAATAGTTTGCTTTACTTTTTCATTTACTGTTCTGTGTCTTAAGAAAAATAAGTTTAAGAACTTGTTTGTGAATAATATTAATCTATATACATATATAATGTATAATAATTGAAATGTGACCGTATTTTACAAAATACTAGTCCACTAAAACACAGCCAAGACAGGTCACTTTGTAAAGACTAAAGATCAATTATATATTATTGGATACAGTAACATAAGAGCACAGGCACAACTGTAAGGTCAGTATGATAAAAATAATAAATGTGTATAAATGTATAATATTGTGAGATTTAAGTTATTTAGATTAAATATTTGTGTTATAATATGTAGTCATTCTAGAGCGAAAAAAACATGATTTATATTTATTTCCAAATTTTTTATGGTGGTTACGAGGTTGGTCCAAGTGACAGACCCCATATAGTTAGGGTAGAGAAACTACAAAATATAAAGTTTCACTGAAACAAACGTTTGAAATGTATTTAGGAGGTTTTAGAGATTACACAAATAATATTTGCAATTTTTGGGACTAAGAATAGCTTTTTAATCATGAAATGAAAATCACTTTGCATTCAGACTAGTAATAAAACAGTTTCGATATTTTCACAAACAATCTTTGGTAAAAATGCTTCATTAAAATATCTGATTGTTTGGGTACAAAAGACTTAGAATCATTACTGAATGTCTACCAAATTTTGTCGAGATACGTGTACAGTATTGAAAGTTATAGTATAAATACTTAACGTGTGCAAATGTGTATACTAACTCATGTATTTCATACCGAGCCCATTGTGAAAGGGTTAAGGGAAAACTGCTGATTTATAAACTGAGGCCCAAGATCAATGTTCTCAGTTCAGCTTTCACATTTAAGTATCTGCAAGTATGTGTAGGTTAATGATACATCATATATCTTGTTTGTTTGTTTCCTTGCATGTAATCATGAACCCATAGCTTTAAATTCCACTAAGTTTCTGAGTTTATCTTTTTTCAGTGGTTATCTTTAATACTCAAAAATCGTGTAGGAATTATGTTTTCTCTCAACTGTGAACTTAGAACATGCATGTAATAAAAAGAAGGGCTTTGGGGGCTCAAGCCCTCCCCTTAGCCATAACTTTTATAATTTGTGCAAAGAAAGTGTATAAAACAAAAACGTCATATTGAATATTTGTCTGTAATTTGAGCTACTTTAAAACAGTGAAAAGTATACCTTTTTTTTTGTTTGCTTACTAACCATTCTAAAATGCTACATAGAAGACATTCAACAACTATATTATTTAGAAATGTGTGGATTGAAAGTGAGTCCCCTCCTTAAAACTGGTTGCATTTCCCAATTAAGTGTTTAAGTTCTGAGAACTGATTTAAGTGAAAAATGCTAAAACATCATCCACATTTTAAATTGAATAAGGAGGAAAATTCAAAGCATTAATGTTTTTGATTTAATATTTTTGCCACTGTTATGAAAATATTACCGTATGTATTTGTTTATAGTATTATATACGAATTGGTAGTTTCTAAAGAAAACTGTATATTGTTGTCATTTACTTTTAAGCTTTATTTTTTAGTTTAAAATCTGTACCATTATTAAGTTTCTCAGCTCAATCTGAATGGATATAAATAAGATTTTACATTTTAAAAATTTCAGCATCACAAAAGTCTACTTCAAAGTTTTGACAATTTCCAATAAAGAAATGGTATATCAGAAATAAAAGTGCTTAATAAACAAAACTTGCTTTTTTTACACATTATTCAAATATGTTTAGAAAATCAACCAAAGCAAAGTGAGTCTGAAAATTAAATATTGAAAACTTTTAACTGCCAGTTAAAACTTATTCTGCTGGTACATTTGTAATTTTGCATATCATTGATACATGTTTTAATTTAGGAAGTTGAAGAGCCCACACTGCAAAAGATATCATTTACTGTAAAGCCAGGAGAGCTTTTAGCAGTGGTTGGACCAGTTGGTGCTGGAAAGGTAAGTATAATTTTTTTTTGCATATTTTAACATGCAATTTACTTTTTATAGCATGAAAAATTCATCTAAAACAGCAATTATACTGTATTAACATATAAACATTATTATTATAGTACAGTGGCTTCCAAACTTTATGTAGTGCCCCCCCCCAACTCAGCATTATTTTTCTTGTCCCCCCACCCTCCTTCGTACTGAATAATTTTCACAAGTGATAAAAACAGCAAATACAGTAGTTTCTTTGCCCCTCTTTAATCAGTAGTAGATTTGACACACTCACATGCACACACACACACACACACACACATATATAGTATTCTTAAGTCAAATTAAGGAACATATCTAAACTGTTATATATTATAATGTTGAAAAAACATTTTCCATTACAAAGTAATGGCTATTAATTTTTCTTTTCAGAAGAAACTGGGTATCCAAAGCCAAGTTTTAAATTACTTTGAAGCAGAAAATTTTTTTCTATGTTTGAAAATGAGATGTTTAATATTTTTTATGGAAATAGTTTCTATATTAGTATATTTTTATTAAACAAAACTGTTTTGTAAAATTCTTTGTGTTTTTTTTGCCTTTTAAAACTTCATTTAGACATCATTATTAATGGCTATTTTGGGAGAGTTGCCTACTTTACTGGGTGAGGTCAAAGTTCGAGGGAAAGTGGCTTATGCTTCCCAAGAACCGTGGGTGTTTGCTGGAACTATCCGAGATAATGTTGTGTTTGGAAATACATTTAACAAGGAGAAATATCAGAAAATTGTGGAAATATGTGCACTAGATAAGGTAAATTTTCTTCTCAAAAGTTTATTGATGATTCACCAAGTGTCATAATGTAATAAAGTGTTTTGATATTTTTATAAAATGTTTCTTTTTCTCATTGTTTTCAGAACTTTCATAAAACATCTTTTTGTAGTTCTGTTTAGTAAACATTCAGAAGCTATTCAAAGATAGGTAAAAATTTCAACTGTCATAATAGAGGATGGTCCAAAATTAACTTTTCCATTTTAAAATCCAATAATTAAATAACTTTGGAAATACAACCATGCAGTTTTCAACATCTTGTAGCCCAACTCAAACAGTTTTTTATTGTCATGTTTTGTTTTCACTCCAGTGAGTTGTGGTAGTACCCTGTAAAATGGCAACTGTGCAAGAGAAGGCTCAATGTGTCATTTGGCTTGCAGAGACTAAGTCAGTAACTGTGAGGCAGTGTAATTACAGACACCAATACAGGAAAGAACCACCACTGAATCCAACTATCCTGGAGTGGATAAAGAAGTTCTTGGAGATTGGTAGCGTGTTACAGCAACCTGGAGCTCAAAGGACCTCTGTCAGGGATGAACATATCAAACAAGTATATGAATTGCCAGAAACATTCCTGCTTCATGTCATTTACAAATGACTTCATTTGCATGCCCAGAAACTTTAGTTGGTACGGTACAGGTACTGCAAACAGACTAAAATGCAAGACATTTGCAGTGAATCTCCTTGACTACATAGATGAAAACAATTTACATATTTCTAGTTCATGTACCATTTAGCATTGAAGCTACATTTCATACTTTGAGTAAAGTGATTCGTCATAATGTCTGCATTTGGGCCCCTGGAAAACTCATATGATACCATTGAAATCTTGCGTGATAGCCCATGCTGGAACAAATTGTGGTCACACAACTGGAAGAAATGCTAACATGGATAATCTTTCAACAGGATGGTGCTCCACCTCACTGGAATTTGCTGGTCAGATGCTTCCTAGATCAGACATTTCCAAGGCAATGGATTGGTCAGGGTTGGCCTGTTCCATGGCCTCCACATTTGCCAGACATTACTCCACTAGACTTATTTCTTTGGGGTTATGTTACGGATATCGTGTATTATACACCTACAGCAAACTTGATGGAGCTAAAGACCAGGATAAGAGATGCTATTTGCTACTGAAACTATGGGCATGTTGCAGCAAATGTGGACTGAAGTTGAATATTGGTTAGACGTATTGAGAGCCACTAATGGTGCATGTAGAAGTCTACTGACATGTCAATAAAAACTGTTTATGTTGGGCTACGAGATGTTGAAAACAGCATGTCTATGTTTCCTTCATTAATTATTAAGTTTTAAAATAGAAAACATAATTTTGGACCACCTTGTATATTCTAAATGTTTTCCAGTATAACTAACCATAGTTTAATGTCTTGTGGATGGAAAGATTTGTATATCAGTGCTTTTTTGATGCACATTATTATTATTTATGTTCATATTATAGAGTTATAGCATTAGTTAGTTTTATTCTTGTACCTTAAATATTTTTATCTTACAACAAATATTTTAAGCTGGTAGATGAAGCTATACTTTTTCATATTGGATTGTACTCGGACATTGGTTAAATCGATTTACTTGTCTTACAGGATATCAAACAATTTCCCTTTGGAGACAAAACTTTAGTGGGTGAGAAGGGAGTATCCCTGAGTGGTGGGCAGAAAGCTCGAGTCAGCTTAGCAAGGTATTTCAATAAACTCCATAACAATTAAAATGATATAGTAAATAGTAAAATAACAATTTATAGAAGTTACATCACTCATATTAAAAGAACTTAAATCACCCATTTGGGTTTATAAATTATTTTCAGGCACAAAGATATAATGTGATTATATAAACAAAGAATCATGTTGATCATTTAGATTTTTATTCTCAGACACAAAATGGAAAATGTTTTTTGAAAAACAATTATGCTCGTGTAGTAACTTCCACAAGTTGTTCTTATCATCTTTTGTTATGTTAGATTTTTTAAAAATAACTCCTGAATATGAGGAAATTGTTGAAGCTACTTATTAACACTTGTTCACATTACAGAGCTATCTATGTTGATGCCGATGTCTACCTTTTGGATGACCCTTTAAGTGCAGTTGACACAGCTGTTGCTAAACATCTGTTTGATAAGTATGTTTCTTTATAAATCAGTTTCCAGTTATAGCCAATAGTTCTACACTTCTGCCTCTTACTGTACTCCCCCCCCCCTCTCCCACACACACACACATGATCCAGTGGTAAGTCTGAGGGATTATAACACTAAAAATCAGGTTTTGATAATTGCAATGGGCAGAGCACAGAAGCCCATTTTGTAGCTGTGCACTTAAACAGATTGCTGTTTATTGTGTATTTAATTAGGCACTTATTACATTTAGTTTTAAATTGTATAGCAAGTTTAATTTATGAAAATATGGTAATCATTTTACTCTTTGTTTTGATAAAAGCATTAAACAATATTTGAAGAACTTGTCATTCTGTTAACATATATGTAGCTCTTTTGAGTGCACATGATTGTTTTATATAATTAAAAGTACAAATTAATGCAAATATTAAGTAAAACTTTTTTTAAATTATAAAAGATTTCTTATCTTTTTCTCTTATTAAATGATGACATAAAGGTTGTGTAGAAACAGTTATTTTTTTAGTATTTAATATAGTTATATTTGTATTCTAGCATACAACATATACAATCCTGATAAGTTTTTTATATATTTTGTAGAATTGAGAACGTCTAAATAAACAAATGTTTTGCATATGCATAATTTGGGCTTCTAACGTCATAATGCATGTAATAATAAACTTCTTTGAATGAATTTGTATTTCCTTAATTTTTTTCATAACTTTTTCTCTCTCTCATTCCAGATGCATCAATCGTTATCTTAAGAATAAGGTCCGGATCTTAGTTACTCATCAGCTTCAATTTTTAAAGCCAGCGAATCAAATTCTGGTTCTTCAAGAAGTATGTTTGAAAAATTAACAAATAGCCTGCATTTGTAATGCTGTTTTGCTATAGGGTTTATTATAAAAATTGTATGACTGTCTTTGTTTTTCATTATATTAAATTTAGAAAAGTGATTAAGCTCCAGTGTCATACTTGTATGTAAGCTAAACTATTTAATTTTCAAGTAGAAACCAGCATTAGGTGCATTTCATTTTTTTTTTCTTATATTTCGTACAAAATCTACTTGTTTTCTTAACCAAAATGTCAGTGTTGAAATTGATATTAGACTTGAGAACAGTCAGAAGACTTTTATAAAACTTTACAAATGTAATGTGTAAGTACATGCTTCATAAAGTAATACATGATAAAAAGATGGAATATTTATATGAACTATTATTATGTACTGGTTCTTCAATGAGTATAGTTAGTACATAATGATTATATTTCTTAGGTTTGAATACATTTTGGGGCTCACTTTTTTGCTGTAGTCCTAAGGAAGTTAATCATATTTCTGTAACCTCAGTTTTTGTTGACTCTTTTTAATCTTCAAACAGACTTAAAGTATCAATATGGATAGATCAATTTCCATATGAAGGTATATTTTGGAACAAGTCATGAGTATTCCTTATGTCAAAGAAGTTTAATGTGTTTGTAATTTTATAAATATCAATATTGTTTAAAGGTGCTATATGAATACTGTAATACCCTCTCACTACAGGCTCATTGGATTAACCAACCTTGTAACCATCAGTTTCCATAATCAAACTTTTAATGTGTTTTGTGATTTTCACAAAATTTAACAAGGTTTCAGTAAACATTACAAGTCTTTTGTACAAAAAACTTGCCCATGAACATATTAAGTTTGAGTGTTGATTGCTTTTAGTGCCTAGTGATTTTCATGTTAAGATGAAGTTATTTGCAAATTGTGAAATTTTATTTGTGTAATCTCAAAACCTCCTAAATAAATATAAAACTGTTATTTTCCCTACTCTAACTCTATACCAATTGGGTCAATTTGACCACTCTTACTCTTTTTGTTTTTTTTTTCCAGAAGGACTGCATATTGTGATGTGAAACTACAATTGATTATCCTAAATAGCTTAAAGATCATAATAGTATACATCTTTTTGTACATAATTTTGTTTTATTACCCTTTGAACTGTGTCTAATAATCCTGCCATACAAGTTGTAAATCACTCGGCAAACATGTAGTTCACATTGCTGTATTGAATTAAGTAAAGCAAAAGCTGCTTGCGAGCATACCTCATGAATAATTTTTATTCTTTTTTTTCATTATCTTTACTAATCTAACCTAATAAGTTTCTAATTTTTATATTTTAATTGCTTTTGTAATAATAAATAAAGAATACACATGACAAACAAGAAATATATTACCTGGCATCTCTTGTTTCTTTTGCTGTCAATTGTCAATGAAGCTTAAGCCTACTTTTTTATACCAATGGTCCTACTGCACTAAATAATTTTTATTCAGTTAAATAATGCACCTAAGAGCAGAGAATAATAACTCTCACGAGCAAACAATGTCCTATAACTATCATAAATTTTCTGGTTCTCTAACTGTGGGATAAGAGACTTAAAAAATTCAGCTTAGCTTGTTGATATGAATATTGTGAGAAAAAGTTCCAAACTGAAGGTGAAATAGACAGTTCTATGTACAAAAACAATGTAATTATAATATTTCATTTGATATATTAAAACTAGCTTTCTATTAGTTATGGATAATATAGTATAAAATATTAGAGAACTATTGGCAATTTGTGAAAGAGAGGATATGACAAGTGGGTCTGTTTTTCTAGTTTATGTCTCCATAAACAAATAAAATTGAAGGCTATAAAATTATGCTGTGCCTTATTAATAACTATATTATAATGAATAATTTCTGTTAAATTCCATAGTTTTTAAAGGAGTGGTAAATAAATTAGAGAAGAGGGAAGACCTAGAGAGCAAATATCACAATTCTTATACTAGGGGATGTTGAGGA